CCGATAAGGGGTAAGTGCCTAAATTTAACATCTACCAATTTTAAGTTTAAGTTAGGGAGTGTTTTTTTATTAATGTGCTGTTTTTCTACATTTATCTTTTATTTGTTACAGTTTTTTTTTACTTTACCTTTTACTTCACGTTAAATAAATTTGTTGACCGGAAGTTTCCTGTTTTACTGCTATGATCCTGATCACGGTTGTTATCGTTGCAACCCTTTCAATGCAATGTATCTAAAAGAGGTTAGAGGAGGAGAGAAATTTAATTTAAAAAAGAAGGAGAGGTAATTTAAGTAATTAAAATGCTAACTACAAACATTATTGCGTTTACTATATTTTACATCATATTTTATCTTCATCCTGAAAAATTACAAAGAAATGACATATACGAGGTATTCACTCTAAGATGACGACACATACACATTGTACTTGTTTATTACCTTAATCTAAATTGATGTGTACTTTTTAGAGGTTGGTTGAAAGAAAAAATAGTGTATTTTTTGTTTATTTATTACCTCTATCTATCCCAAATCATCCTTCATTTCCAGAGCGATCTTGCATTTTATTCTACAAAGAAGTCTGAAACAAAAATATGTATTGTAGTGCTGAAGCTCTATACTCCTATGTGAGGTCTTGCTTTCTGATAAAAAGTAACACCTCTCATGGGAGTAGTGACAGATAAAGCAAGATGGGTAATCATATAGATACAGTATGAAGCCAGCATAAACGCCAGAATGTTTCAGGCATTTTCAAAATAGATTTAAAGAAATGTTTATATATCACTGTGGAAAAATAAAAGGGAGTAAGGGACAAATGTCTACAGATTAGACCTTCGTTCCTTACGCTCTTTCAGATTACCACAATTGAATATATCATCACGTTGAAAACAATTCTGTCATTCTTGTGAAATATTCTGTCAAAAAGGTTAACTGCGGGCACCAACTCGGTAATTGCTTTGTAAATGACAGCTATGGCTTGAGCATGCAGATTATCTGCTTTGGCAGAAATAATAACTGCCTCAGCTTGCACCTTGCCAGCATACCCTTGCTGCAAGGATGCTAGCAGCTCCTCAATGCGTAAGAATTCCGCCCGGTTCTGCTCCAACGACGCCGACGCTCATCAACTCACTGTCATCGAAATAATGGATGTGGTGTAATAAAGAGTGGGAATTTGCTCAAATGGAATGTTACTTTGTTATTGAATTGTTTGTTTGAAGTTATTTAGTTACTTTGCGCTTGAGTTGGTGTCCTTTAGGATTACTGGAAGGGCCTCTGCCGCGGTTATTGCCGCCGTTGATGTGGCGTAGATTCTCATCCTACTTTTCCATACCTGAATAACAATAATAATATTGCATATTATAGTGATATAAGTTATGGTACAAAACTCTCATTATGACTGACCTTAACCTACTCTTTGAGATCTATTGCGAGGCCCTTTGCGTTAAAAATAGCCACACACTCACACCAAAAAGGCGTGCTGATAGTACGCACGAACAACGCCGAGCGAAGTCTTCCTCAAGCCAAATCTCTGTGCGATTCGAACTCCAGCAAAGATGGAGCTGGCTTACAGTGGTCGCTCGCCGTCCGACCGCATCCACATTGGCTAAAATACGAGCATCATTATTAATTCTACATTGCTAACATTTCGAAATTAATAGTAGTTGGCGTACCTGTTTGATTATGTAAAAAGATACTATTTTATTAAATAGAATATTAAAACAGAAAAACAATGCGTACGTACTTACTTTTGCGTGTTCAATCTCTAAACTAAACACTAAATTCAATTAATTTGGTTCAAATCACAACTATACGTTTGTTTACAGTTGAATTTTATGACATTTCTTTTACACATTTTTTTTAAATCGCTCTTTTATAGACTTGGATTCGTAGATATTGACATTTCAGGGCATTTTAAATTTTCGATTGCGGAAATATTTATCGGTTTTTTTACATAGTCAAGATACGTCTCTTAACGTATCGCACGCGGTATAGCTTTGCTTTAGTAGTTTAGTAGCTTTGGTTTAAACCTTTCAAATTGATAGCGCGATTGCATTTTGTACATCGGTAAAACTACATACATACCAAAGCTAAACATGTTCCGTTGAATGGTTAAACCTTTCGAAAATAGCGCGATTGGCCTCCTGGAATACGATCCTCAGTTTTGAGGCCCAACATAAAACTACCAAAGTTAATTTATACAAATCAAAAATATTTTGCGTAGCTCTGAACAGGTTAAAATATGCATTGTTTTAACTTATGTCTCAGAGAAAAAGGATCAATCATTTTTGCAAATTTCAAATGATCATTTAAATATATGCCTTTTAAAAAATGCCTTGATACTTAGACATTTTCATGAGTGTATATTTATTCTTGTATGAAAGTAAAATCTTTATGAATTATTCAAAGACATGACTGAATAACAACAAGAACAAGTACGACCCACCACACGCAAAACAGGCGCTTGGACGTCGAGTTGTTGACAACAGACCGTTAGACTATACCATACTAACGTGACACTATGATTCGGTATGAAGCGATAATGCCACATACAAGGTTCTACATGGCCACAGTGCACTGAGCGCGCGGAATGTACGAACCATCTGTATAATAATATAAACAATGTCAAAAAGAAAGACATTTCTAATCCAGAGACGTATACTTCGGCGAGCAGTCAAGAGCACATCAAGCTTAACTCTATGGACTTTGGATCGTTTTTATCGCAAACGGTATAGTTAAATTTAAATCTATAGTGTCAAGTTTGACGTGGTCTTGGGTAGACACGAGGACGTTTTGTAGATCTAGTCTCATGAATGACTGTTCATTATATCACCTTCTTAAAACTGACACTGCCACCGCGCCTGTCGCCCTGAGACATAAGTTGAAGTTCCATGTGCCTGTAATTTCACCAACACCTTCAAAAACGAAACGCAGTAATGGTTACATTACCGCATGGCGGCAGAAACAGGTAAGGTGGCAGTCCCTGGACGTAAACTTTCAAAAGGATGTCCACTGCTACTATGGCCACTACTATGCTATGTGTAAGGGCGGTTTCACATTTCATGGTAGCGATGATTTTGAGAATAAATTAAACAAGAAGTAAAGTGCACAAAACGTATGTATATATTTTTCAAAATTTCCTAAAGGTATCGTTGATTCAACTTTCGGTAATTTTTTATTCAGCCGAACATTTTTCTGCTAGACTTTTGATTTCACTACAATGTCCTCTGTCGTCATATTCAGGGCATGCCTGTAAACAATACATAAACGGTAACTGTGTATGTAATGTTGTTTAATTCATTATAACCCTTAGCACAATTATTAATAATGGCAAATTTGCAAGTCGTCGTCGATGATTTTCAACAATACAATTCTTTACTTGTTTCCTGTTGGTGGTTCACAAACTATGTTTCAAAATAGAGAATGTTGTTATACAATAAAAACCATCGGTAATTAGAATACAGTTATAAATATAAATAAAAGAGACAGCGA